TGACCCCCCAATCCCCGGCTGGTGACAGCTCCAAGCTCCATGGCAAATTAGCCCTTCTCACATTACAATTGCAGGAGACAGATTCCATTAGCGGTATCTGAAATTGAGTGGAGAGCTGCTCCGTTATCAGACTTGACTCATAAGCGCCACTATTAATCAGAGCTATGATAGCATTTATATATTTCAAGCTATCTGCCGCCGCTGTGATATTCTGCTACAAAGGGTTGATGGGACTTAGGGAAGGGAACAATGGAGCTTTCTGGGAAAAGCAGAGTAAATCAAGAAAGTCTGTGACTTCCGCACATTCTGAAGGGATTGCGGTTTACATAAATTTTCTCCCAATTGGAGATTGAGCTCTTCCTCATCTTACACATGGGATTTAGTTGTCACTCAATGGTAACAGCTGTGAAAAGGTGAAGCGGCCCACCGCTCAGAATATTGCCTCCGCTTTTAAAGCAATTAACCCATGAACAGGAGGATACCTGGTGATATCAAAGGGATTAAGCCAGGCAGTGCATTATTAACATTTCCTTGAACTAATTCTAACTCTGACTAGCTGTCAGAAAAGACTCTTCAGTCTTTAAAAAAAAAAAAAAGGGAGTTTTTTTGCCCTGCTTTCCCCCCCTTCAAAACGAAGAGTTACTGCAGCCTAATGTGCCTCCTTTAGAGCAAAATGCAAATTAACAGATTTGGTAATGTCTTCAAACAGACTGAACTCAGTGTCAGTTTATTATGGGGACAAGGGGAAAAAAATATAAACTCCATATGATCAATTAGCCAGAGATGGTAGATATTCTTCTAAAAGGACATTAACACTTGAGTACCTTCCTTTCTTCTCTTCCTCCTAAAACTTCGTAACTACTTGTTACTAAGCACAGCTGCTTCTGAAACAGACAAGATCTTCACATTGCTACAGAGGTGATAACCTGTAATCTGGAAAAATCCAAATATGCCCTGTAAGGATATTCCTCCTTCCCCAAAGCCTGATTTTGAATTTCCCGCTACAGTCGAGTGGGCACCATCATGCCAGGCAGGAGCGCTCCTCTCTCATCCCTCCATCTTCCCCAAACCGCCACCCAAAAAAAGGAGCCAAACTGTTTGGGGATGGCTCCTGTTCCAACAAACCCACGAACCACACAGGATACGGAATACTCCCCCACCTGCTGCAGGCATCAGACCCTCTGGGGATGGCCATGAAGGTGACACATACTCCCGGTGCCCCAACATGCCTGGTCCTTCCCAGGGACCTTCCCATGAGAACTCCAGGACACACATCACTGGAGCAAGAAACTTCAGAGCCATCAGAATGGTCAATTGCCGTTTCCAAAACATTCCGATGACTTCAAAATGATGAAGTCATTTTAATGATTTCGTTATACAACGCACTTAACACTTGCTTTTGTTGGCACTGGGAGAAGAGTTGGCTCCAGTTTTCACATACATCCACAGAGTGTTGTTTGGAAGGTCTGGGGGGACAGGGAGTATATACATATATAAATATACATATATTAGTCCAAAACTCCACAGGATACCCAGAACAGCAACCGAAGGGGTGTGAACAGCTTAATTTAATGCAACAATTTCCTCCCTCTCAAAACCCCATGTGCAACTCAGCCAGAATAAAGCTGGCAAAAACTTACTACAAGTATGGGCAACGACACCACCTATTCCACTACTGCCCCTGCAATAAATTAGCTTTGTGTATTTAGATACAGCAGAACAGCCAAGCTACGAAAGGTATACATTCAGAAAAAAAAACAACACATTAAAGCTGGGGAAAGCATCCTAGTTCTCTTTGCAACAGAGAATGCAAAGAATGCATCATCTGTGCAGAAAATGACACCTTGGCAATCATATTACAAGAAGATAATTGGTTTACTTTGTAAACTTGCTATGCTTTGCCTCCCACAGTAAAACAAATAAATAGTTGTTTAAAGAAACAATCCTATAGCTGCACTTGCTGTGTCCTAAAAACATAAAAGCAGCTTTCCCCTCTTTCAAAGCAAAGATGAATTATTTGCCTCAGTTACAAGCAGTCCAAGAAAACTCTTTGTAAATGCCATTTTATGATAATTACAAGCAATTTATTAAGACTGTGCGGAGGGGGTGGAAAAACCCCATATTTGAGAACTAATTCAAAGGAGTAAACTGCTCGTTCAGCGACAGTCTGGATTACTGATAAAAGGGCTTTTTGCATCAATGCCATTAGACATAACTTTGTTTTAAGAAGCACAATCCAGGCTTAAAAAAATAATATAATGAAATTAATAATATAATAAAATTAATAAACAAACAAGATGCTGGGGTTGCTTCCTATCAATTCCAGCAGTGCCTATACAGAGCATCCCACCAGCCATCACCTGGCAGAGAAGAAATCTGTTTAAGGAATAAACTTGATCCTAATCTCACACACGCCATAACATCCCAAACACCACCCAGCCTTGGAGGAAACTGCGACTTTCCTTACGCAGCAAAGAAATTGTTCTGTCCTCCCAAGGAATAAACTCAGGAAATGCCTCTTAAACAAAAAGAGTCAACAGGGGGAAAAAAAAGGGGAGAGATTTACTGTACGGGGATGCTGGGATGCCCAGGGTAAACAGCAACCCTGCCTGGCTGGTGGGGAGAAAAGAAAGGTTTTAGAGGTTAAGTTCAGGTCAGACGACAAATGAAATTGTAACAACCTAACTGACATTGTACAATGTCTTCTTCCACTAGATCAATAGGGCAGCGTCAGCCCCATTACCATAGAGATGGCTTCCTCCCGGCTGAAGGGTGGCTATTGTTTGAAGAGAAAGATTTGCCACTTGAACCGTGTTGCTCCCAAAGGATGTGTACTTCATCAATTATTTGTATTCCTAACATCTACATATTTTCATATTAGCATCCACATTCCATATGGCAAGAGGAGCAGGTGCTTATTTTTCCATTTTTCCTTTGGTACCTCACAAGAGTCATCCCATCAGCTAAATTTTAATTAAAACACAAAAATGTGGGGGAGATTTCACAGACCAGTTTAGATCCTTTGCGAGTACGCACAAGCCCGGTTAAAACCGAAACATGTCGTTTTCAGATAGTTGCAGCTTTCGCACAGATGGTGCCAGTAAGGACTTTCGGAGAGATTTTTTTTTCAAGTAGATGGTAATAGAAAGAAAATATTTTTTTTCTGCATGAAGTGTCATAAAAAATATATCAATTTTAAGCACATAAAAGAAAAAATGTAACATTGTAATTTAGAAATAAAACTGGCCCCCAATACCTTACAATTAATTAAAAAAAAAAATAAATCGCTGCTAGACTGATCCTGTCAGTACCTTCTATCTATAATTTTCTGTAAGTCATAATAGTTTCTATCATCTCTCAGCTCCCAGTTTTCCGCTCTTTCGTGCACGTTTCAAATTTGACGGAAGCCACATCTTTCAAATCCAATTAAAAAATAACAAAAAAAAAAACCCTGAACCTCTGGAAGTGTAAAAATAATTCCCCAATTTAGCCCACCATTTCTCTCCTGTATTCTTGTTTCTCTAACGCGACGACTGCTTAATTTCACAGGCACAAAATGAGCACATAAGGAACACACTGCAGCTAAAACTAAAGAGCAGGGCAGATCTTCACAGTAACTGTAATAACATGAATAACTGTCATTAAAAAAATAAATAATCAGAACCAAATATTCAAAACCTTTAGCAACTCCTTGCGGGAGTTTTTAATATAATCAAAAGGAGTCGTGATCCAAAGCTGCGCCTGGCACTGTGCATGGGAGGGCAGCGCCACTTCCTGCCCCCCAAATACACTGTAAAATACAGGATATTAAATTAAATAACACTGACTTAATTACATGTATTACCCAACAGTAAAAGCAACCACTTTAAATGCCTATAGGAATACCAAGGAATTAAGTAATTCCAATAGGTGTGCTTTGGAGCTGATGCAGTGCTACATGAAAGGAGATGTGCAAAAAGCAACTTCTCTTCAGTAGAGAAAGATGCACCCAGACAAATGCACACTGCAAACGAAAGACTGAGTGAGCTCAGGGTTCTTCGGCTGTGCAGGATCTGCCCCCCCAATTTGTTCCTGCTTTTATTTCCAGGTTGCTCTCACTCTCTGGGGAGGTTTCCCCAAGGGGTGATGCAGCTCTGGAAACGGGGGGAGAAAAGGGCTTGTCAAAATAATCTCAGTAAGGAAGCGTCCCGTCTCATCCCAAAGCACCCTGACAACATGAGATTTCACCGTTTGCTGCTTCAAAATGTGCACTATTTTCCCTGCAAAAGAACATCAGAAATTGTTTGTGCGGGTTGCAATAATCCTCTCAAATATGGGTCAGGCTGAGGTTAAGAGCAGCCAGAACTTGCACATCAAAGACGAGCAGGGTTAACAAAACCCCCAACCACGTGCACATCCCGATTGTTCCCTTTCCTCCCAAGGTTAGAGGTCCAGAGAATACAGATGGGCTCTGGCCAGTCCCCTACTACACTGCACCTACGCCGGAGGAAAGCGGCTGGCACTGATGGTCTCCCTGGTCCTTGGGTACCACTGGCAGGCAACTGCCCATCCACCTCCGCCAGGAGCTGCAATTAAACCAAGTTCATGGTATCCCGATAGGTGAAGCTCATCCTGTTAATTTAAACAGACCATCTGCATCTTTCGAGAACGACAAACTTCATTAGTTCTGGTTAGTTAAACCGAGTGGTGATTTGTGATAATGAGCCTGAACAACCTGTCATGTCTGTGTAAGGGAAAAGGCGCACTTTTTATTATTTCTATTATTATTATTTAACAGAAAGAAAAGAAAGAGGGACCTTTTGTGCAGGAAAGAAGGTCAGATTCAGATTAAACTGCCGTTCGGTTGATCAGAGGAACCAATTGCAGCTGGAAAGGGAGGAGGGGAAATGCTAGTCCAAAGGCCAGAGGGGAACACAGGGAGCCTTTGGAAACATCCCGAGCCAACTGGGAAGCACCCTGCCAGCATCACACCAACGAATAAACATCCTCAATGACTTTACCTGAAAACCGTGTAAAAAAGCAAAGAAGCGGCAGCTGCTCCCAACAAGCTGCAGAGGAGATTGACTCGGAAGGCAGAGGAGCCGACAGGCAGCAGCCCCATTGCCAGCTTGGCTAGCAGCGTGAACAGGGGGTAGCCGGGAGGGTGGGCGACCTATGGACAGATAGATAAAGGGTTGAAAAGGGGTGAAATGCCACAAAATCAAAAGGAGAGCAGCACACTGGGGTCCAGCGGCAGGAGCCAGGGATCTCCAAGTGTTGTCTCTCCCTGACCCATCCTCTTGTACCAATTTTACTCCACAAGTATTTTTCCTTAGTGGATTTGGCTCCACGCCTCACCCATAATAATGAGGAAGCGAGAAAAGGAGGTGCCACGTTTCATTAGCATGCCTTAAAGGGCTCCTTGTTTGGGTTCACAGTATATTAGGGTCATTCAAAAGGCAGCTGTTTTTTTTCTTCTTTTTTTTTTTCTGTTTTTTTCTTTTTTTTTTTTAGAAAAAAAAGCAGCTTCTCAACTATTTTATTGGTTAGCAAGTTGAAAGACCACACTGCTATCGGATTACCACCGCGCTGACAGTCCTAAGGTCTTGCCTAAAGGGATCATGCACCATAATAAAGTTTATTAAATAATAAAACTTATTAAAATTGTTAACCCGATTTATTTTATTCTCCCCAGCTTATACAAAATTTGGGTTGATAATAAGCCAGCTACTGTATATACAGTAAAGCCTTTGCTTTATAATTTAGTTTAATTGGATTTAAAACTTGCAGTAAATTGTCGCGTGCTGTACTTATAAGTTAGTAAAAACTGTGGTTTGAAAATAAATTAATCTACTTTACTCCATGCTTAATTAAACTTCCTTAATTCCTAAAACTGTTAATGAGAGCATTGATTAAACAATAAAACTAATACTTACTCCAAGCTCATATGCGGCTGTGATCAGCTCCCCTGTGAAAAAATAATGTAAAACCAATAATTACTATTAGGAAATGACACTCCTCCAAAGTTTTCAAAATCCAAATGCTTGCATTGGGGTTTTGCATTAATTTGACTGGATAAAACTGTAAATCTGTAGAGATTTAACAGCATGAAATTTTCTAAGAATATTTTCTCCCTCTGATGTCATTGCACAAAATATCTTTTGTATGTTTTCGCGAGACTTTCATGAACAGATAAGTGAATGTATAGGTAAGCTTGGGTAAAGAATGGCCTGAGATACTCAAAAGGCAGACATTTGTGCGTATTTTTAATTTAAAACCAATTGACTCAGTAACTTTCAAGCACTACGGTTTGCAATGCTTAAGAAAACCCCCACAGCTTATAGTTTCAAAGAGGGAAAATGTCATCATTGATTGCGCAAATCTGCATCTGTGTATTTGGGAACGCTGCTCTCCCTTGATGCTAAAAGCAATTCTTGCAGCTTCTGCTTCACAAGTTACTCTTTTACCTGTCAGTAGCTGCTGCATCCAGCAGCTGCTCCCATTAGAAACACCACTGAGGTTCTGCATTTTGTTTGTATTTTATAGCAGGCCAGATAATTCCTACAAAAAGACCTATGATAGCATAACAGTTAATAATACTTGGCATTTTTAGAGCACTTGACACTGAAGCATTTTGCAACACTCCTGAACAGCATATACAAAATATATTCAATAAGCACAACACATTCAGGGATGAGCCAAAAGGAAAAAAAGTTAAAAATTACTGCTGGTTTTGCTTCTTCCCTCACATTTCATCATACTATTTTGCAGAGCCTGCCCTCACTGGTCCTGCCAATTTTGTAAGTGCCAAGGTTGTGGTAGCTCTGTCCCATTGTTAGATGGTAAATATACAAAGTGAAGGGTGCCTTGGCTTTAAATGCTAAATTAAAAATACTTTACATTTCTACACATTATTATGTCATTACCATCGAATGAAAAGGAGGACTGTACAAATGGCAGCTTTAAATCTTGGCATTACAGCAAACAGTATATTTTAGAAAGAAGATGCAAGTCAACCTACTACTGCTGTTGGCAAATTACAGCTAGTGCCCCGCACAATGCCCTGCAGCCTTCTGCACAAAAGCCTTTCAGATGTGGATTTTACCACACTTCCAAATGACACCTATTTTTATTGCTACTTTATTTGTGGAAACTTTCAACCTCCTGCAAGATGGCCCTGAAAAAGTGGATGCAACGGGAAAAACATCCCTCCCTAACTGACCCTTTTAGTGTTCAGTAGCTCCAATGTTCCTAGGGCACGGTGAGGTTGGGAAGCCATCAATCCCCCTGCACACAGCAAAAGATGACGCTAGTAAAGGAAACCCTAAACTCGGCATTGTTGGGATTTCCTGGCATGCCAGCATGCACTGCTCTGTGAGCACCTCATGGTGAATGTCACTGCATTGTGGGGATGCTGTTCCCAAGCCAGGCATGGCTTCACCTTCATTTAAGTCCTCCTGAAATATAGCTGCATATACACCTAAAATGGCTAAAGAGTAAGTTCAGGTTCATGCATGTTGCTATGATATTGGTTCATATCACAGGCAAGAACAACTCCAAAGCAACATAGACACGCACCAACCAGAAAGCTGCAGGAAAAAAGGAATACCGGTGGATGCCATTGCCAGGTTTTGAAAGCCAACAGCACAATTTTGCCTCCCAAGAATTAAGGGGAAAAAAGTAAGAAAGCCTGCAAAAATAAGCTCCCAGACTGTAAGCCTGCTGAATTCCACTGGGAAAACCAAGAGGAACTCAACACCCACCACTTCAGATAAGGTTAATTCTCTATATCCCACCCACATACCTGGGTATCACTTACAGCCTCCACAGGCTATGTAAGTACATAGTGCTATTATTAAATGACAAAAATAAATTAAATTATTAAATTGCCCAAGAGAAGCTGTGGCTGCCCCATCCCTGGCAGTGTTCAAGGCCAGGCTGGATGGAGCTTGGAGCAACCTGGTCTAGTGGAAGGTGTCTTTGCCCATGGCAGGAACTGGATGGTCTTTACAGTCCCGTCCAACCCAAACCATTCTGTGATTCTACAACAAAACACACAGAGGAAGACTACAGCATCCACAAATTTGATTTCAGTGTATTTCTTGCAACAGAAAATGACTGTCAGCATCTCTACATGCTGGCTCAAATTGAAGAGTTTATTCCTGCATAATCTTGGTGTAAATATGTTTCAGACTGTGCAGCTTGATTCCACAATAAAGGTGTTCAACAGGCCCAACACTGCCTGAAAACTGATTTAACCCCATCAAGTTTGGCAGCTGATGTCTAAAACATCAGAGAGAAAATTTAGGTTTTTTTTTTTATTTGATCCCTTTATAAGCTGTTTAAACACCTGCAGATGTTTCTGAACTAGAATTCATTCTCTCATTTCTTTGTTACAACACTAAGTAAGATGAGAAAGCTGCCAATGAAAATACCTATTGCCTTTACACTTTTGGATTACTGCAAACTTCAGGAACAATTAAAAAGTATACAGATAGCTTAAAAATAAAACAAAATAATAGGCTCCCTGCCTGAAAGCTGATAGACCAAATCCTTAAGCACCTCTTTACTCACACAAGTAGCTTCAGTGCTTTTGAAGGTGAAAGTCTGAGCTCTGTGCTCAGGCACAGGCAAGTTAATCGCCTTGAGCAGGGCTGTGCAGACAACTTCCAGGGGACTCCAGCCAGGCAGCAGCGCTGGAGCATCCCATGGACCATGAGAAACCAGGGGAATAAACCAAAAAAGCCTAAACACAATGCAACAGGGTGGCTGCTGGCTGGGACAAGCACAAGAGGACAGTGGGGACGAGCCTGTCTGTTCAGCTCCAGTAAAGACATACAACTCAGGCAGCTGAATTAGGAGAAAATGTGGAGCCAAAAAAAACCAAACACAAATAAGGAGAGACAGTGAGCTCATGGGGCTAAGTGGGGGACACCGTCCTGATAAATTTCCTTTAATGTAATTCCCAATAACATGAGTTTCTGGAAGCCTGCTAAAGCATCCAGTCCCCAGTCTGGGCACTCCCACGGCATCTCTCTGCTGTGCCCATTTGCAGCACACATCTAGTTTGTGTCCTTGATACCTCTGACAAAAGTTATTAACAGAGGGGTGAAGCAAGCTGCACATTGCTTTCTATACACACTGCTGCTGTGTGAGGAAGAATCAGGATGCCTTTGGAAATTAGGGAAAGAGCATCCTTGTCCTGCCTCCAAAATGAGATAAAATAACCACAATAAACTAGGGAAAGCAGGGTGAACCCATGCCTGCCCTGCTTGGCTGCTCACTGTATCTACCAGTACAACTCACATCAAGCAAGGAACAAACCCTGCATTGATTCATCACTTCATAAGGAGAACCCACATCTCACTTTGTAAAGGGTGCTAACGGTTATTTGCATCCTGGAGGCAAAACCCAAGCTCAAGGACAATTAAAAACCAGGTTTCACACAGCACAAACAGTTCAGAGCACTCACACCCTGTACATTCATTCTCTTTCCCATCAGAGTACTTTAAAAAATAAAATGGGACTAACTGTAAATATATTCATCACTGCAAATTAACCCATAAAAGCAGGAGGAAAGCCAGCCCTTTTACAAACTCAGGAGCTGAAATAAAAGCCATTGGGGTGCATACTAGCCAGCCTAAGCAATTGTGCTTGCACACCTCATGTGGAACAGGGGACACAAGCTCTGTGGAGAAAAGCTTTAAAAATAAATTCTTTTAACACAGCTCTGACAACAGGGTCCCTCTGATCCAAACACGGGAACCGGGAAAATGGACAAGGCTGCATCTTCAAGAGCCAACTAACCAGGACAAGCTTGGTGTAATGCAAACACAGCTCTGTCCTGTTACTTTTAAATCAAATAACCCCCAATTGAATCACTGCTCAACTTTACATGTGTTTAAAGAGCTACGCTGAATACACACTGCCTTAAACCCAGGTAGACAAAACCACTCTATGCTTACCAAGTAGTAGTATCTTTCATGTAGCTCTAAACAAAAACTAACAGCAGATTTTAAAGAGTTGCTTTTAAAATATGGGATCTCTCTCCACACGTGCCAGAGCTGTAAAATACATGCAGCCATTAAAAGCCCACTTATTTATATGGAATTTTATGTGCAGCTTGGGTCTGAAATCAGCGCTGGCTGAGAAGCAAGAGTTAAACCAGACCCACTCAGTGCTCTTCTGGGATACGAAACAAAAGTGTACCAGGTACCTACTCCATTAAAAAGAGAAAGCTGCAGCCTGAGCAGTGATACACATCTGGCAGGATGCCACACATGCCTTCTGACACCACCAGCTGTGGCCAGGGCCCTGACTCTAACCCATTTGCTGTAAAGCTCAAATTCATCAAACTATTTGCTGCAAAGCAAACGGCGGGGGAGAGGCCACATAGGGTGGCCAGAGGGCACCAGTCTCCCACGATGTGTCCCCCGAAGTGTGACTGCGATGCACCAGTCTCGGTGGGAGGCGCACTCCATGAGGGAAGTAGCAATGCCCCAGCCCCTAGGGCTTCGCCCTCCGCTATAGGGTGCCCATAATGCACCAGCCCTCACGAGGTGAGCACCCCACAGAGTGACTGCAACTGACCAGTGCCTATCAGGACGTGCAACCTTATGGGATGAGCAATCCTACGGGGTGACAACGACACAGCAGCCCCCATGGGGAAAAACCCTACGGGATGACCCCAACCCTATGTGTTAACAGCGATGCGCTAGCCCCTAAGAGCTCAGCCCTCCCATACATACGAAGCGTGACCGCGATGCACCAGCCCCTACGGGGGTGAGGGTCCCCCTGGCGCCACCTCCCCGCTGGGTACGTTACCCGCATCCCCGCCGGGCAGGGCAGGCGGCAGCGTGGCCATGTAGAGAGCCGCCACGGCAGCGCCCAGCGCACCGGCGGCTGCACCGCCCGCCCCAACACCGGCCCCCGCGCCCATGTGCGCCGCAGAGCCTTCCGGGTTCGGCCGCGCGGGACTGGCGGGCCGTGCCATTCCACCCACCCGCGGGGGGAGCAGCCCCGCCCCGCTCGCCTTCCCGCGCCCCCCGGGCTGCTTCCCGGGAGCACCCGCCACAACGGCGCTCGGATAGGGAACACGTGAGGCCGTGGGCTCGATGGGGCGATTCAGCACGACCCCCCCCGTCCCTCCACTCCCTCCGCTGTGAGTAGTTGGTACAGCCGAAGAGGGCGGGACGGAGGAGTGCACCCCTCGGTACCGCGTCCGGGCGGGACCACTGCGCGGGGTGGGGTGGGGCGGGGCGAAACCACCGCGGAGCGGCGGGGGAGCGGGGAGCGGGTTTCCCCGCCTGTCCGAGGTAGTCTCCCCAGCGGGACCTGGGGATGAGGTCTCCTGTGAGCCTTCTTTTCTCCAGGCTGAACAAACCCAGCCCTCTCACACGGCTTCCCAGTCCTTGGATCATCTGTGTGGTCCTCTGGACTTTCTCCAGCCAGTCCTCACTTTTTTATATAGTGGGGACCAAAACTGAACACAGTATTCCAGGTGTGGCCTGACAAGCACTGAGTAGATGGGACAATGACATCTTTATCTCTGCTGGTGATGTCCTTGTTGATGTAACCCAGCATCCTCCTAGATTTCTTTGCCACAGCTGCACACTGTGCCTGCCTACTGAGTTTGTTGTCCAGCGGACGCCCAGTTACCTTTCCACAGAGCTGCTCCCCAGCTGGGTAGATCCCAGCCAGTGCTGCAGTCTTGGATTGTGTTTACCCGGGTGCAAGACTTACACTTGTCCTTGTTGAACTTCATAAGGTTCTTGTTAGCCCACTCTTCCAGCCTGCCTAGGTTGTCTTGCGGGGTGACTCTCCCTTCCAAAGCATCCATTTCCCACTGAGGTCGGTATCATCTGCAAACTTCATCCAGGGTTCATCATTTGATCCCATCATCCAGATCACTTATGAAGATATAGAATCATAGAAGCGTAGAATAGTTAAGGTTGGAAAGGACCTTAAGATCATCTAGTTCCACCCCCTGCCATGGGCAGGGACACTGCACACTAAGCCATGTCACCCAAGGCTCTGTCCAACCTGGGCTTGAACACTGCCAGGGATGGAGCATTCACAACTTCCCTGGGCAATCCATTCCAGTGCCTCACCACCCTTACAGTAAAGAACTTCTTCCTTATAACCAATGTAATCTTCCCCTGTTTAAGTTTGAACCCGTTACCCCTTGTCCTATCATTGCAGTGCCTGACGAAGAGTCCCTCTCCAGCATCCCTATAGGCCCCCATTCAGATACTGGAAGGCTGCTATGAGGTCTCCAGGCAGCCTTCTCTTCTCCAGGCTGAACAGCCCCAACTTTCTCAGCCTGTCTTCATACAGGAGGTGCTCCAGTCCCCTGATCATCCTCGTGGCCCTCCTCTGGACTTGTTCCAGCAGTTCCATGTCCTTTTTATGCTGAGGACACCAGAACTGCACACAATACACCAAGTGAGGTATCCCAAGAGCAGAGTAGAGGGGCAGGATCACCTCCTTCGACCTGCTGGTCACGCTCCTTTTGATGCAGCCCAGGATACGGTTGGCTTTCTGGGTTGCAAGCACATTCTGAAGCCGGCTCATGTTCATTTTCTCATCGACCAACACCCCCAAGTCCTTCTCCACAGGGCTGCTCTGAATCTCTTCTCTGCCCAACCTGTAGCTGTGCCTGGCATTGCCCCAGCCCACGCAATGTGGTGAAATATATTTTAACCACGATGCTCCCAGCTGGGCTCAGTGCCTTTTGCCTGCTCTCGGCCAGGTGAGCAGCTCCTTTTCAGCTGCTGGAGCCAGTGCCAGCAGGGTGGGTGCTGTGTGGGGTGCAAGGCCCACCCATGGGCACAGGCTACAGCCACCTCGCCATGCTCTGGCTGCCTCACAGGTCCATGTTCAGGCGTGGCAGTACACAGATAATACAGTTTAATGCCCTGAATGGGGTTACACGAGATGCTGGGGAGGAAAAGGATTGAAGTTGTCAGTGTTTAGAATATTAAAAGCAGCGATTCCCGCTGTGGGAGTAGTTAAGGAAGGCAAATAGCATCCTGAGACCTATCGATAGAAGACTAAAACACATCCGTGGAAATCATTATGGGATTGTACAAAAGAGCGGAGAGGCCATACCTGGAGAATTGAGACAGATTATAGAAAGGCTTTTGAATACAAATGAAAAAGGTATAGAAAAGGGTAACTAGGATAATAAACAGCCTTATGGATTAGATCTAAGTGGAGAAGTTAGAAAATTAGGTTTGCATTTATTAAAAAAAGAGCACAATTAGGGGTTGACACGACTGAAAAAGCGTACATCATATTCTGGGGACTGGAGAAGCTGGTGCTGAAGGAACATTTTGAAACAGCTGGCAAAAAAATCCCGAAAGGGCATGAGCCAAACCCAAGAAAGATATTAAGGGAATTTAGGGAAGGTCTTTTCACATGCTCCAGCCAGTATGTACAGGGTTGGTAAAAGAAGCTGAAGTTGCAACCCGCTCAGAAGTTAATTGGGTTGCTTGAAGGAACTGGTGTTTGAGGGTATAAACACTGGCTGAATACCAGCTGGGTGCACGTGGCTGCCTTCTATCCAGAAGGCAACCACTTGGCTCTGCGGTGACCAAGTGAGCTTCAAAAAACTCAACTCATTGGCAGGTTTCTGCTGTTATTGGCTAATGTTCACTGGGGAGAAGAAAAAGATATGTCACAATCCTCCACCAGCCATTGCCACTATGGTAATGAGAGGGGTCATTGTTCTCCGCACCCGTTGGGGATGGTAAAATGTAATTTTAGCAGCAAAGTGCACAGTCTGTGTGTGAAAGCAGGCTGGGGGCAAGGCTCTTTGTCCGACTTGTGGCTTTCTTCTTTGCAGTATTTTTCTTTCTTTGTATTTAACTTGGAAAAAGCATCCAAAGACAAATGTTAACCATGACTAATTACAATTATATTGATGGGGGAGGTAGCAATTTAAAGGCAAATATCGAAATGTGGAAGAATGTCTGGTAATAATATGTTCAGGACAAACTGTTCTTTAATTGTCCTGCAAGTCGTTTTATATCTTTGTCATGCAGAAACTGAAACTTTTAGGGTGCCAGTGACAAAGTACTTTTCTGTAATATGGTAGGGCAGGCTCACAACAGCCTTTATATTACTGAATAACTACCACCGGTTTCAAAGGCCAGGATTACAGACACACTTTATGTCGGTACAAATGCTTTAGAGAGTGCATTTACATTTTTCTCTGTAAGCAGAAATCTATTAATTCATGAGATTTGACTCCCCCTTCTTCCCCAGGCATGACCCAGGGGTCTGACCAACACTAGAAGGACATGTAGACCCTCTTTTTTTTTTTGTTTTATCATAGCCAGGCAGATATTTTTTCACTGTTTTCATTCCTACTCTGAAAGTTTAGAGTGGTCTGAACCCAAGTTAGATTCACCTCGCCACAGAGCAACGCACAGTGACCCTCTGGATTTTCTCAAAACCTTCAGGAGGGGCTCAATAGTAATAAAAAAGTATTGCTTAGTAAGAATAAAAACACACTAAGTGGAAAGCATTTGAAAGATGGCCTTGTCCTACACATTGATTTACTGAAAAAAAAATAATCTCTGGAACTTGTAGCACGAGAGCATACTCTAGTGGCAACTGAGCAAAGAAAGTACTCTTGGTTTGTGCAGTGTTCGGCGGGAGATGCCTCCCACCTTTCACCGGGAGGCTTATTCTCTCCTGTCTCCTCCAACTCCATGCCCCACGCTCAGCCCTACAGGAAATACCCAAGACAGGTAGAGAAAATAAACAGGAACTTCTAAAGTAATTTTAAAAACACAGCTTGAGAACGTATCTCTCCAAAATGGCTGTGTACTTAGAGAGTTGTCTTTTCACCAGGCTCTCTTGCAGATTTTCTCCTGAGAGACACAGTTTAGAGGAGGCAGGAGATAGGAAAAAGGAGAATAATACTTAAAGCAAATTCTATTCACCCATGGCAGTGTCATTACAAACTTGAATGAGCACAGTTATTGCAAATAAATAAAAACAATAGACCAGAACCAGTTTTACATAAGAAAATACTGAAATACTGTTCAATTAGTCCTAAGCTTTAGTTAAACCTTTTCTTTTGCCCATCAGGTGATAAGGTTAATACAGAAAGCACTCAACTGCTGTACTTGTGTAACAACAGTCAGCATCCATTTAATGAACTTATGTGTATACACATTTAGCAAAGCTTCAATATTGTCAGCGTTGGGCTGGCACAGAATTTTAATGGCAAAGTAGCCAGCCCAGTCTTCTCATAAACAATATCCCCGTGTAAAGAAAGCAGGTCCTCCTGGGGATCATTAACAATACAAATAAGCACCACTTCTATATTTAAATAAGAACTTTGGCAGTATTTCCACTGACAATATATGCCTGCCTGTGAAGCATGGAAAGGAAGATTACACTACTTTTATTTGTTCTTAAGTGGCTTGAATAAGCTGCATTTTATGACTTCTAGAGGGTTTTTGGGGGGAGGAAGGGGGAACACCAAGCTTATATCCCACATTTACAGCAACATGAGTGCAGTAGCTAGACATGGTGCAGAGGGAATTTCCAGGTGGAATAAAGTGCACTTGCTCTAGCAAGCATCCTTCTGTCCCTAGTCATGGGGCTCTCACTGCCTACCCTATGAGTGCAGAGCTTTAAGTGGTTGAACTGTATGTTTGCTGTGACACCCCAGTGCCTTGTAAATCGTCAAAATTCAAAAGACAGGTAAAGGTCTCCCAATGTTATCACGGTCATGGCCATTTTGTGCAAAACAGGAGTGAGGGTAGAAGCCCAAATCAGACTGTGCAGTGGGGGGAAGGAGGAAGGACGATCATGCCCGTTGTTGTCTAGTGTGGGAGAGGGGACCCAGGGGTAGTTGTGGTCAGAGTGCTGGGAGAATCTGGGGGCTCAGGTCCATAGGAAAATGGACTTGGTTCCACCGCTGACAGGGCAACTTGTTCATCATTGCAAAAAATCAGTTTCATTTTCTTCCCCAAATAAGAAAATAGACTGAACTAATC